GCTTCCCCCCCCCCCGCTCTGCAAGAGTTAAGTGCTCCTTTTGTCTAGGGGGCTTTAATAAATCAGACTTACCTGATCCTCGGTCCTGCAGCAGTCAGCGCTTACCTCTCTTCCCTTCCGCCATGGCTATGAAATGTCCCTTGGTGCCCTCATGTCTAATGCAAGTGAATGGACCTACATAGGACATGATGACGGCAAAGGTCCTTAGATCTCCAGAGCGCAGGACAGAAGAGGCTGGGGGGGCCGGTCTAGCAGGACCGAGGATCAGGTGATTAAATCTGCTTTATTTGAGCCCCCTGGACAAAATGAACACTTAACCCTTGCAGTGCAGGGTTAGCCCCAGTGCAAGGGTAAGTTTTATGTTTGCCGGAGTTCTTGTTTAGCACAAACCTGTGTGCTTATAGAACTGAATAAAGTAACAACTCTAGGAAATACCTAACTGCATAAAGTGTCAGCAGATATCTTCTGCCCCCTCCAAATGCCACACGGAGCTGCCCTAAGGTTCGGTTCACACTATTGTGTGGAAGGAATGTGCGCCAATGCACGTTACTGGTGTTGGTGCAATGTGGTGCCATTCTTTATGATTGGCACCCCATCGCACCTTTCCGACAGATGTGCGCTGCCAGAAAAGGTGCAGGTCCTTTATCTGGCACATTGAGGTGCATTGCTAGGCCATTCATTTTGCTGCCTAACACAGCGCACGTTGACATGCGTGTGTTAACAAAACGCAACCCACCAGCAAAGTGTGAATCTAGCCTAAACCCTCTCCACACCTGTGTAGCTGAGTTTAGATACACTGTGTTTCCCCGAAAATAAGACCCTGTCTTCGATTTGTTTTTTTTTGTGGCTCCAAAAAACACACTAGGTCTTATTTTTAGGGTAGGGCTCATTTATTTTTTTAAATGTACAACAATCCACACTTATTCTTGTACAAAAATATGGTGATCGGGGCAATCAGGGGTGCCGTACCTTTCCAAGTGCAATTTAGTAACCAATCGCTGGCCAGAATGAGCGAAGCGCGCTTTCACTATCGATTGCTCACAGGTGGAGTGCATTTGGTATCACTCCGCCTGTGACAGGAGCCGACGCTATAGAGGATGCATCGGCTTATGCGGCTCTGCTCCTTCCACTGCCGCCTCGCTTCCTCTAGCGCTGGCTTCGTTGGCACCGCTGTTTATCTCCCACGGCTCTTCAAGTTCCCCCTTATGCCACCACCGGCCCTGGGAATGGTCACAATTAGGTCTTATTTTCAAGGTAGGTCTTATATTTTTGCTAACAATCCACACTTATTCTTGTACAAAAATATGGTGATCGGGGCAATCAGGGGTGCCGTACCTTTCCAAGTGCAATTTAGTAACCAATCGCTGGCCAGAATGAGCGAAGCGCGCTTTCACTATCGATTGCTCACAGGTGGAGTGCATTTGGTATCACTCCGCCTGTGACAGGAGCCGACGCTATAGAGGATGCATCGGCTTATGCGGCTCTGCTCCTTCCACTGCCGCCTCGCTTCCTCTAGCGCTGGCTTCGTTGGCACCGCTGTTTATCTCCCACGGCTCTTCAAGTTCCCCCTTATGCCACCACCGGCCCTGGGAATGGTCACAATTAGGTCTTATTTTCAAGGTAGGTCTTATATTTTTGCAATTCCCAAAAATAGTACTAGGTCTTATTTTTGGGGAAACGTGGTACCTTACTCCCACATTACAAAGCCCACTGCCTGAGCAGTATACCAGACATTGTCATGTGGGGGGGATTTGGAGTTGCGTCCAGGCGCAATTGTCTGTAGGTAATCACAGCTTTTGCGATGACTTGTGATCGACCCGCGAACAGCTAGTCAGTGACGGCTGTCAGTGTAATACATAGCGCCTCCTGGATGCAAAAGATTGCATAAGTCTCACGGGGGAATTTGCGAGCCTCATTGATCCGGCCCCATTGACAGGTGTGAATGAGGCCTTAAAAAGATACCCTTATCTCTAGGCAAGCGACTTTGCCTAAGCTAATAGGATGTCCTCAGTCTCCTCTTCCCCTGTGATCAGACTGGAACATTGAAACTTTGTATCACATCACAAGAAGAGAGGCTGCAGCAGGGGCTGCTCTGTATCGGGCATTTGTGAACACAGCCAAGAGCCACACAGGCACTGGAATGTACATGACACTTGTCATGTCTGCTCCATCCAGGAAGTAGATGTCCCTGAGTGATGCCTAAACAAAGATGGCTCCAGATGAAGTCCTTGTGAGGGAGAGTACTGTGATCTCTGTGAGAGGTGCGAATACCTGTCCACTGACATATTCCATAGCATGCAGGCACGTAACAGGAAATCTATATCTGATGTTCATTGCTTCTTTTTGTTTTGTCCGGCAGCCCCACCGCCATTGAAACAGAAGTGCGCAGTGTGGAGAAATTGCCAGCCGTCAGAGGTGGTGTTCCGTATACGATGCGGTGGCTCGAAGGACATCCTACCTGATATCTGTCTGGACGGTGAGATGTAAGTGTGGCACATACCATGTCCATGAAAGATTTTATATCACCTCAACCATCATCTTTATGCCGCGATTGGCGAGGGAGCGGTAATCTAAATTGACAGCTGGAAGCGTGCACAGTCTGCTCCAGTCTGACCAAGTGTGAACGAACAATCGGGAACCAATCGGCGTTGTTCCCAATCATGTGATCACCATGATGACTAGGGATGCACTGATACTGATGCCGAGTATTTGGCCGAGTACTTGTACTTGCTCAAATGCTCTGACGCCTAGGCCAATACTTCCGGTACCAGGAAGCCTGGCAGCGAGTCATTACACGCTGCCCGGCTTCTTGATTGGCCAGGAAGCCGGCTCCATGCTCCCTCGTCAGCATGCAGCCTGCTTCCTGGCCAATCAGTTAGCCGGGCAGCGTGTTATTACACGCCCCCCGGCTTTCTAAATGGCCAGAGAGCCGGCTTAATGCTCCCTCCTCACCTGATGACGAGGGTGCATGGAGGCGGCTTCCCTACTAATCGGGAAGCTGGATGGCGAGTCATTGCACGCCACCTGGCTTCCTCAATGGGACTTCCGGTATCGGTATTCGGTATCGGTGCATCCCTAATGATGACCATTCGTGGTGATTGCACAGAGACGTAAGTATCAGCGCGATCAGTGTCTCTTTAAGCTAAAGGTTGTGACTGGACAATGAAAGGAGAAGCAGCAGACCGATGCGGTCATTTTATAGTATGGTAAGTCACCTGCATACAGCGTCGTGACCTTGGAAGATGGCGGTGCTTCGAGTCATAACACAGATAGTGCCGCATGGAAAATTAATCCTATTTGGTTTTGGTATTTGTCACCATTTGTCACACACAATCGACTCTTCAGGGCCACGAAGGGTCCCTTCCCCAGGGTGACATCATGTAGGGTCCCTGAGGAAAGTTTTTAACGTTGGCTGTGTATGACGAATGGTGATGATGATTCAATAAAACAAAATAGTATTAACGTTACATTACTTGTGTGCTGGTGATTATCTGATCTTCAGGATGAGTTCATCTCTCGGTCACTCTGCTCTCTCCTCTTATCAGCGTGTTCCTGTACTGCAGCATGTCTGTTTGGAAGGGATGAGAGAGAGAGAGAGGGAGGGAGAGAGAGGGAGGAAGAGGGAGAGGGAGGAAGGGGGAGGGAGAGAGAGGGAGGGAGAGGGAGGAAGAGGGAGAGGGAGGAAGGGGGAGGGAGAGAGAGGGAGAGGGAGGGGGAGAGAGAGAGAGAGAGACCTAACGGGCGAGGGAACGGTGGGCTACTTATTGAATTTACAAATGACACAACTTTCTAGCTGCCTATAAGAAATGTGTTTTGTGTGATTTTGTCACTCAGGTTATTGGGAGGAAGTCAGAAGACCGGAAACAGAGGATTGAACTTCGTCATCGTCAATCGTAAGTCTAAATAATAGAAATAATGAACGGAATAATGTCCCAGCTACTGTAAATTCTATGAATCGTCTCAGCAAAAGTCAAAGAACTCTGACACAAAATATCCTCGGGCGTATGCTTCATCTTTTTAGAAACCCTGTAACCCCGGGTTCTGTTACGTTGTATCATCTTTAACATGATCATGTTGTTTCAAAAGTTATTTTTAGTATATTTTTACATTTGTATCAATAAAATAAATCCTGCTAATCCTCCCCGGACGATCCTTGTTCAGGCACTTCCTTCCATAGGGTCATTCCAGCCCCCGTTTCCCCCTCCGTTGTCACCCTGCTCCAATGGAGACTACAAGCAGCTGTGCTGATGTACATTACACAGACACGGGCCGCTGTTGTCACCATCAGGTAGCCAGGAAGTGGCTGTAAGAGATCAGCAGCATTGAGCTGTATGCAAGGATGAAAATATAAAGGAAATAAGTATTTCCCCCACTTTCCCCTACAGTGCTCTTGCGTTGTCACCCTGTCACATGGAGTTGACTAAGAAGCTTTGCTGACACACAGTCCGCAGACACATTGCTCAGGTCCGCGCACGTCACTCATGTCCGCGCACATTGCTCAGGTCCGCGCACATTGCTCAGGTCCGTGCATGTCGGCCAGGTTTGCGCACGTGGGCCAGGTTCGCACACGTTGCTCAGGTCCGCACACATTGTTCAGGTACACTGTTCTCAGGATTAGGAAGCTGGTCCAAAGCAATAAAGTGTCTGACAAAGGCTGGAGGAGATCAGCAGCACTGAGATATCAAAAAAGAAATATTAAAAAGCTAAAGGAGAATTTAATTAATTAAAGGATAACTATGGGGTCAGTGTTTTTCCCCATAGTTCTCCTTAGGGTAACGGGAGGGCACAAACTAGCGTCCTCCCGTCACCCTAAGCTCAGTTAATACTGAGACGCCGTAGCGGATCCCGACATCGATGTCGAGATCCGCCCAGCTGCGTGAGTGACAGCTGGCTCTGCCTATCTAAAGGCAGAGCCAGCTGTACCCCTCCCCCTTCCGTTCCGCCAGTCAGCGCTGGCGGATCGGAGCGGGGGGATCCAGCCCCTCCCCTGTCACGGCAGAGAGTCGTGACAGGATCGAGAAGTGAGCGAACGCCGGTATGTGTTCGCTCACCTCCCGATCTACTGAGCTGACCTGTGACAGTCTCATTCACAGGTCGGCTAGAACTATGAGGTGAGTGGAAATCACTCATGTCATAGTTCTCCTTTAAGTTAGTGTATACTTTAACCTGGAACGAGCACACCCCATATTAAGTGCATCCCATACACACATGCTTGGCTTGGGTCACAAAGTAGGGATCAGGATGACCGCTTTTTTATGTATACCCCCCAGTTTAAAATCTGCACCACTGACAAACTTCTGCATCTTTCTTTTCAGCTACAACCCTAAAAGTTATCGACACCAAGACGTTTGATATGTACGAAGGAGGTGAGCACGATTGACTGACTGAATGTAATATTTTGCTGGTTTT